TTCCTACAAGAGTTGTTTTTTCGGTTGAAATTTTTTTATAGTGTTAAATTATGCCTCAATTAGAATTTCATATGCACAGACTGATAAAGCTGATGAAGGAGTCAAAGATGAAAGAGGCTTACTTCGAAGGCTTTTTTCGTCTACGTTTACGTATGATCTCAAGTCCCATTACGAAGTAGAAGATGGTAAAGAAGAGAAAACCTGGCGCTGAAAACAAWTTCCTATATGATGAACCAGCAATATGAAGAACTATTTAGTCTTTGAATACATTTTGTTCGATCAATCTGTTCAACTGGTGTCTTTATGCTGGTGTCGTCCGCAAACATGTTTTTCGACACTATTGCTGGTTTTGCTTAGTTTTGAGAGATCATCGTTTGGGCAAGTAGAAAGGAGTTTTAGGAACTTTTCCTACAAGAGTTGTTTTTTCGGTTCAAATTTTTTTATAGTGTTTAATTATGACTCAATTAGAATTTCATATGCACAGACTGATAAAGCGGATGAAGGAGTCAAAGATGAAAGAGGCTTACTTCGAAGGCTTTTTTCGTCTACGTTTATGTATGATCTCAAGTCCCATTACGAAGTAGAAGATGGTAAAGAAGAGAAAACCTGGCGCTGAAAATAATTCCCTATAAGATAAACCAGCCAACGAAGTCTTAAGAAGGGAGAGATAAAGTTATAATATAATAAATCTGAACCATCTAAGAAATGGAAGAAATAGGCAAAGATTGATTGATGAGCGTTGATGGATAATCAACTGATCTGAAGACGAAGAAGAACACGAGAACTAAATTTTAAGAAAATGCCAGCTCGTTTGAAGATGATAGGAAAAACTTTAATGGAGTGAAGAAAATCCTCATAACCCATGGATTGAAGACAAAACGTTAATCAATGTGTGAAGACTCTCGTGGAATCTCTTTGCTGGCCACTGATGGAAAAGAAACAAGGGAATTAAGAATCACATTCAGTCAGACTTCGATTCCATCACAAGAATGAAGATTTGGACCGGTTATGGGGAGGAAGTTATCTAAAAGAAGATAGTGAATAGATGGCAAGCAGATAAAAGTAGAAAATGCGGTTCCATCTCACATCCGCTATAACACGCAGCTAACACTATTTGTTCTCATTTTTGGCCAATGACGCAGAGGGATTCAAATATACTCGTGATAAATTGGGTAGATTTTTCCCACAATTTGATGTGTTTTTCCTAAATTGTTTTCAGCAAGGTTTCTATGTAGAACAATACATTATTCATGGTTTAATATTTGGAGACCCTTGACAATTTTTTTAGTGCTCTTTATATTTTCTTCAATTATTCTTTTAGAGGATTTACGCTCATTGTCAGCCATCATCAGTCATATTTTGGGGTTGGTTGCAAACCATACAAATTCTCCTAAAGTCTAGGGACGGGAATATTTGAATGAAATGAAGAATGAGAAGATCCGTTTACTCTATTAACAGAAAATCGACCATCAATAACTGTAAATCAGATTGAAGCAGCCATAAAATTGTTGCGCGAAGAAAAAGCTTCAGTACCGGCCGGAATACAGACGGAGGATCAAGCTTTCGTATGAAGAATTGATACCATTAGCTTAATGAGCCATTTAGAGAACATTTCGTTAAATGACCTCTTGCAGAAAATACAGTATACCCGAAGACATAGTCAACAACACAGAATAGGGTTTTCATTGTATCAAAAATTCCTACACACTGAACATTAATACATATATGGTAATATACATATATGAAAGATTAAATAAGTTTATACTATTCATCTATTGCTATTTTGTTAAATATTTAATAAACAAATTCAGGTAAAATTAAAATAATTTATGAATCCCTAAAACGCAACCCTATTGGTTGTGACGTCTCTGGTCATATAAATGGCGGATTGTTTACGTTCTGTGCATAGTGTTTAGTTGTGTGGTTGTGTTTCATTAGTTATTTTGTGGATTTAAATAATATATGTGTTAAACTAAAAAATCGCTACAGAAGGATTCCTTAAAGCGTCAACAAACAATTTACCATCTGTACATATTTTTATGGTTTCCGAATTTTAAAAAAACGACAAATGCTTCAATGCAGCCGAATTTAAGGGTGTCAAAGCAGCAGCGTAAATAAAAATACGTAAATTCATTATTAGTTACTCCCTCCTTAATATACTAATCTGTCTGTATTGGTTTAAATTAGGTAAATAATATATAGAATTTTACTTATTCAACTTAACCTAACTTCTACACATGGCTGTTTTTTTCATCTGCCTCATCATTAGCTTTTTGTTCGTACTTTCATTAAACTGATCCTCGCAACAAAAAAACATTGATTTTGATTTAAGAACATCACGTCTAGCTGCTTTGAACCATAAAACTTTACGTGCATAATCATTGGGAACGGTTAAAAAGAGTTTGTATGAAGCACTTATTGAGGTATTCTTGCATCCTGGCACAAAACACCACTTATTTTGTGATCCATACATGTCACTATTTTCCATTATGCAAGATAATAATAATCAATAATATAATGATAATGACAATAACTGAAATAATAAAACAGCTGCGAAAACAACAAATTAAACACAAGACACTTTGTTGATATGACCTGCTACGTCACAATCGGGATAGGCAACCGACGATACGGATTCGGCGTTTTTGGCAGAAACTATCTGATTTGAATTTAAATTTGCTTTAAAATTATTATGGAGACTTTTTTGCAAAAAAAATATATCATGTAATGCTAATGTAATGTTTGCCATAACTACATTCTCTATATGTATAAACATTAAAAAAAAGTGAAAACACCCTATTCAGTCTGCAAGAACTAATCCCAAGATGCTGGGCCATAAATTGCGACATTTCTTCCTACTTTATCAGCTTCCGAAAGATGTTTGACAAAATTCTGGAACAGAAGATGCTGAGGCGCTAAAAGAAACCGGAATGGACGATAAAAATCTAAAAATTGTCCACATCTTATACTGGACGCGAACAGAGCTTGTATTCAGAAGATAATATATACTTATACTATAGAATTAATAATATAATATTTACCGAATCTTTGGAAGATAAGGAAAGACCAACGAAACAGTATTGGAACAAAAAAGTAGGTAAAAAGTGATGATGATCTGAGGAGGACTGTAGGTGAAGCAACAAGGTTCGTCAATCTGTTATTTGATATTTAATCTGCACACCGAAGAAATATTAGAAAAGCTCTAGAAAATAATAAAAATTCAATCAGCGCGCGACTAAATCATCTTCGCTATGCAGATGATAACGTCATGTCTGCAGATGAGACCGCTTCGACAGCTAATGCTCAAATTGAAAAATTTTAAAGAAAACTACCAATTACATCATAGGAGCATTCGGCTCTACTGACCGATGTTGAGAATATCATGAGTCGATAGAAGAACCAACCCAACAGTATTAAAACAAATCAAAAGGGAAAGAACTGATGAATTAATAATATAAATTACCTAATATAAAGCCTCTCAAAAAATGGCTGTTTCAAGAAGAAGACAGCACAAGTCGATCAAAAATCCACGACAGAGCCAATCAATAATCATTGGAAATGACAAATCTTGCAATGCAAATTGACGAATTGACCCTGAAGATGTCTAAATAAATATGGCAAAACAGACTGGAGTTTTAGAGCGGGATTTTGAACGATACAAAACAAATCCCCAACCCATCAAGAGATGGTTCAGGTCATTCTTAAGGAATTGTTCCCGGGTTTCTAAACACAGTTTAATTGGCCTAAAAAGTATCTTCTACTAACAATGGCATGGCTTAGAGGGCTACAAAAACACCCCATTGAGAGGTGAGAATTCGGGCAGATAAATATGAATTCCATGAATCAACTACCTGACGCTACGAAATGTGGTAGCAAAGTCTGGTGTCTCGGCGACATTGCGACGCTGAATACTCAAACATTTGCGGTTGGCAAACATGAGAAAATTGCTCAAATTTATGCAAAATGCATTTCCCGAAAACTGCAGGCAAACAACACGCTGCGTCTTAGTGTGAAGCGATTTTTGCGTGACTTTCAACACATTGTCAAGTCATTGCCGCGGTCTAAAATTAGCGATGAAACATTAAGGAAAACGTAAAAAATATAATAGAGGCGTCCTCCTAAAAATAGGAGGATTACCCCCGATTGATTGGCGGCACTTTGCACATTTAGTAGATTTTTGGCGGATTTTTCAGCTAGTTGAACCGTTTTCCAGCAAGTCAACAAGATAAGATAACGAAAAACGATGGCCCTAAATGTACATATACCGTTTTGCTGCAACTACTGAGAT